CTCTTTCCCGCTCCCCCTCTCCCTTTTCTTGACACGTAAAATTCTGTTTCTTTCAGGCTTCCAGTTCTATCCCCCAAGAATACAGAGAAGGATTTAGTATTGTTAACTTTTGTTCATTTATCACTTTATTTTTTTCAGTTGACAGTTAATGACTAGAAACATGTTCCAGGCAATTCTTTAGGCACTGAAGGGAGAGAGAAGGATGGATGTGAAAGGTAAAGGAATAAGTGGGACATTTCCAATCTCTATAAAGAGACAGTTCACAAATAATAAGTACTAAAACAAAATGGGGCTGGTTATTTTTCATTTGAGTTGCCATTATTTTCTACCCTGTTTTTCCCTATATAGGACAGCCCAAGGAGGCTCACCCTGCAGATAGCATTCTCCATTGTCCAGGCTGCTTTGCCCTCTGTCTTCAAGTGGTTGTGGCCAGTAGGAGGCGCCAGAAATATATTGAAAGGAGAGGAGAGACAAGTATGTATTCCTCCTGCTTGATATCTGCTTTATTGAGCTACACAATCAGGCAGTGACTGCATCCCCCAGGGCTACGGCTTACTTTAAGTAAGCCCAACTCCAAGACTCACTTTCTCAAAAGAGAAACTCACCATAGACTGTTGCAGGGACAAGCTGACTGTCAATGTTTGCCCTGTAATGGTGGCGGCTCATTTATCATGGAATACTGAATGATGAAGTAGCAGGAAGCGCTCAAAATGATGGCTTGATCTAAAGAAAACCAAAAAATTTCTAGGTCTGATGGAAAGAAATGTGACTTAAGTTTCTATAATAGGAATCCATGGTCTCTTACCAAGTTATCAGACCCAAATCAATGAATGGACCCAGAGGCCTTATTTTGAATGGAGGATTGATTTTTCTGAGAAAGGACCCTGCAATACTATTTCAGTATATACCTTAAATGATCTTCCAGGCCTTCCCCAGAAGGACACATGGCACACAGCCGAGTTTGAAAATGCCTGTGAAAATGGATATACTCATACCTCAAAAGAGTTATCCAATACTGGTCCTGGGTTTTAGCTAATTTCTACGGAGTTAAAACACCACCGTCGTCCAGTGGTATGTTAGTTATCCACTGCTGCTATAAAAAATTACCACAAATTGGTTGGTTTAAGAAAAAACACGAATTCATTATCTCGCAGTTCTGGAGGTAAGAAGTTTACAATAGGGCCTACTGGGCTAAAATCGAGGTGGCAGCAGGGCTCTGGTCCTGGATGCTGTAAGGGAGAATCTGCTTCTCTGCCTTTTCCAGCTCCCAGAGGCTGCCGGCATTCATACTCATTTAGTGTCTGACCCATGAAGAGTGATTAGCAAAGAGAGAAAGGAGAGCCCACACTCAAGCCCCTGGTACTGTCCCTCCCCAGCGATATAAGTAATGTCACATGCCGGATAGTGCAGAGACTAGAGCGACTACCTAAAAACCTAAACGATGCAGAGGTGCCTGTTCCCAATTCTTTCTTTATTCAATTGACATCCCTGTTCAACTTGTGCAAAAGTAAGACAGGTCATGGGCATGGGTAATGACTATCAACCAGTCTCAGTCACCATTTCAGACATGGTAACTTGACTGGCTCAGACAATATACTCCTAGCATCTGGGGCTATTAACTTGAAAACACTTTCTACCTTGAGTATAAGCAATGAAGAGTATCTAAAATAATTTGTCTTCACCACAAAGGAACAGCAGTGTATTTCACCATCTTCTTTCAGGACTATGTCAACTCTTTTGCTCTCTGTTACTCTTATAACATGTTGGTATTTCACAGGACATCATATCGGTCCATTACATTGGTGACATCAAACAACATGGACCTGATAAACAGCAAGTAACAAGTTCTTACATGCTTTCATGAGACAAATATGGGCACAAGGTAGGATAAAAACCCATGAAATTTCTGCCTGGTTTTAAGAAAGTCATTGGTGGGAACCAGCAGTTAGCGTAATGGCTATGTCGCTGGACTCCCACATAGTCGACCGCGGTTCGTGTCCCGGACCCGGTGGCTTAAAACTCACGCCGGGCGTGTGTGCGTGCGTGCCCAAGATCCCGAGAGGAGAATGGAGGAGAAGGGATTGCGGCGTGACCATCCCCCCTGGGGGGTGATTTCTCGCTTTCTGTCTCTATGTCTCTCTGTCTGTCTGGTGAGCGCACGCGCCCTACAGGGAAAATCTCTCAAAAAAAAAAAAAAAAGAAAGTCATTGGTATGGAAACTGTCAAGATATCCCTTCTAATATAAAAGAAAAGTCACTACCCCTTGTATACTCACTACAAAGAGGGATATTATTGTCTAGAGCTCTTTGAGTTGTGGAGACACCATCAACCAATATTAGGTGTAACTCTCCATCCATTTGCTCAGCTCTCTATCACACTGTTTTGAATAGGGGCTGACTCTCCAAGTCTAGGCTACAGAGCAAGCTGCCCTGCTCCTTAGTGCTTGTGACCTATCAGACACAGCAGTTATTAGACTTGTCTGTGGCAGCCAGAGATAACTGAAGGGAACCTCTATCAAGTCACAGAGGAGATGTCAAGGATTTTAGAGCAAAACCATATCCTCCTTATCAATTTGTTAGTTACTGATTATACAATAAATTACCTCAAACTTTTGAGGGCTGCCTTGGAAACTGGCTATAATAGCCAACAACTTCATTATTTAAAAAATGTACCTCTCTTGTTACTGGACCCTAGTAAAGACTGAGAGTATAATGGAGTGTAAGAGTTTGCTAGGTCTGCCATAACGGTTTTCAGATTGAGTGGCTTCAACAACAGAAATCCACTATCTCACAGCTTCAGAGACTAGAAATATGAAATCAAGGTGTTATCAGTCCTTTCTGTCTGGGGCCGGCAAGAAAAGAACTGTTGCAAGCCTCTCTTCTTCCTTGTCTTTGCCCTGTGTGTCTTCACATTGTCTTCCTCTATGTGCGGTTTTGTCTAAAGTTCCTTTTTTAAAAAGATTATCAGTCATAATGGATTAGGGACCACCATAATGATCTCCTTTTAACTTGATTACCTCTGTAAAGACCCTCTAAATAAGCTCACATCTTAGGTGTTGGGATTAGGATTCAATATATCTTTGGCGGGGAGGAAGGAGCAGCACATTTTAACCCATGGAAGAAGGCAGTTCAGAGCAGTCTGAAGAATACCAAGTCTACTATAATTTGGCCTAAGAGGGGCATGAGCAACGTAGGCCTTGGTTACATGCCACACCCAAGGGAGTTATTGCCCAAAAGGCATGTTTTAGTTTATGGTGAACAAACTGACACTGCAAATGGTTACAAGGTAACTCACCCTTTCTTCATTGCAGTATTCTCCAAATTCACAACATAGTGATGTCGCCAATCAATTATCTGTTCTATTTTAAATGAACCATGTGAATTCTTGCAAACCTCCTTCTTCTTGGCCTTCTCTTTGTCATACAAAGTAACCTTCTAGCCAGTAATTTCAGTGTGACTTTCTAAGCAACTGGAATCTATGTCACCAGGGTGTTCTTGGTCCTCAACTCTTGGCTCAAATAAACGTCCGCCTCAGTTACTGTGCCTCAGTTACTGTGCCTCAGACTTCCTTCTTAGGTTGACAACACCAAATAAGTATACATCCTTGCTCTCTATAACACTCTGGATCAGGGTGCTGCCTGATGATGACGGTGGCCATGTGCAGGAGCTGTTCAGTTAAGAGTGGAAAGTCTGGCACCAATAAGAGAATCTGCCACATTGTAACCACTCAGATATTTGCAGGTGAGTGGGCTAGGTGGGAGGCCTGTGGGAGGGAAAGAATCAACAATCCTCCATCCAGGGCATAATGGAGAACTGCGGGAGCAAAACTCCACGCTTGACCTTTCTCTCAGCTCTAAAAACTCTTCACAAGTTGGAAGGATAAGAAGCCCAGTGGAGTCATGTTTAAGAATACGAACTGTTCATTGAGGCTTCATAATTTCCAAGCTGTGTGACTTGGCTAAATTACTTAACCTTTCTGTGCCTAAACTTCCTCCTTGTCAAGTGCTTAAAGCTAGGTTTTGGGGGAAAGTAAGTTAGATAAGTAGTATTGTTAGTATTTTTGGCATATTGATGACTATTAGGTAAGCCTGCAAGACAAGCCGGAAATTCCCTGGGGAGGACAAATCCGAATACTCAACGTTTTTAAGTGTCATTCAAAAGTGAACAGTCACCACCTCTTTTGCTGTCGTCCAGACGCCTTTCGATACCCACTTCTCTGCAACATACCTTTTTACTGGGCAAGAGACCAGGCCTGGGGTTTTAGTTCCAGCTGCCAGCAGTGAACTGTGTGTTTGCCAAACCCCATGCCCTCTCTGTGCCCTGGTTCCCTCGCCTGCTGACGCGAGGTTGCAAGACCTGAGCGCCAACGTCCCTCCCAACTAAAGTGAACCACTGTCCTCCGCGTTTCTGAGCTCGGAACTGCTCTCGTCGTCCGGAGCCCGCTCTACCCGCTGGATTCTCCCCCGCCCTACTCCACCACCTGCAGCTAGTTCCCGGGGCCCCTTACACCCCTCAGTCCAGAGCTGCTCCCCTGCACTCCGCTCTGCCTTAGGGGAGGCGCCTCGCGGGCGCCCCCCGGCCGGAATGCCAGCGCCCGGCGTCCGGCTCGCCTTCTCCCGCGCCGGCAGTGCAGCAGCCCGCCCGGGACGCCTTTATACCGAGCGCTCACTAATGTTTAACTCGGGGCCGATACTGCCCGCAGCGAGTGACGCCGCTGCCCCGAGCAGCTGAGCGGCACGCCGGTCTCGGCAGTTGGCGGTGACTTCTGCCTGCATTCCAGCGGCGAAAACTCAGAGCCTAGGAGGCGCCGACCATGAAGGTGAGTAGCGCGCCTCGCACTGCCCCAGCCTCAGAGTCGAGTTGTAGGTGCCTCTTTGCCAAACTCTCCCCAAACTGCCTCTAAACCCAAGGGAAAGGACTAGGGACGCCCAGGAGGCAGGAGTAGCAGGACCACCCTCTGACAGGTGAAGGAACGTCCCAGAGTCCTGGTCCCTGCTAGGACCAGGCTCCAAGCCGTGAAGTTTCCAGAGACCCACGCACAGAACGCAAGCCCGAACCCACACTTGGCTTCAGAGTGGCAGGAGTAGAGAAAACAGCACTAACCTGCTCTGAGGCCACAGGTTCAAGGGCACCTGCTAGCGAACTCCGCTGGCACACACCAAACCCTCCCAGCCCTCACCCTCTCCCAACGCAAATCCTATTGCCCCTGGTGCACCCCAGGCCCTGACCCTTTTACTTAGACTGGGGCCAAAAGTTCCCCTCTAATTGGACATAACCTGACCATCTTGCAGACTCCGTGGAAGGTTCTCCTGGGACTGCTGGCTGCTGCCGCCCTCGTCACCATCATCACCGTACCCGCGGTTCTACTCAGCAAAGGTGGTATGTTTCAAACACTTGGGAAAGATAAGACAGCCATGCGGGCCGGCTTTGTTTTCTCTCACTAAGGGGAACAAGGGTTTTGTTGGGGGCTTGGACCAGTGTGCTAGGGTGTAGGTTGAGAAGGCTTCCCTGGCATTGTGGGGGTTTATATGTGGCAGCAAGACTCATGTTGCCAGGTCTCCAGGGTTTAGACTATCAGTCTTACAGCCACTAGGTTGTATTGTGTATAACAAATGCAACTTCTTGAAATTACAGGGAAGTCTTAGTATTTATTTTTATGAAATTTTAGAAGTTTTAAGTTTAAATGTATTTTTATAAACCAATTGTTTTTTCCCCCTTTTTTGGTGATCTTCGAAGGAAAAAAGGCAATATTTAAAGATCCCAAATACAGCAGTAAGGATGTCTTTAAAGGAAGGGGGAAATGAGAAAGCAAGCCTCAAAATACAGTTTTGAGAAAAGATGATACACAGGGATCCCAACATGCTTTCCTTTAGGGACTATGAGAAATCATCACGTGGAGGGTCTAGAGGCAGAGAAGTAACTATTTGACCAGTTTCGGAGTATTGCAGAGCTAAACCATAAAGCTGACATGCAGGATGAAATTCAGAGAGGGACGGGATCAATGGTTTTGGTAGATTCAGTCATGTAAAGTCACCTTCCAGAATGTTTCAGTTTAATCCTAGCTCTTAATAGAGAACACTTAGATAATAGAATACAGACTGCTAGATGTGAGCAGAGGAGTCTCTTCTGGCCTTATTTTCTGTTTCAACACTTACTTTCATTTCAGTATCACACACTCTTAGTCAGCTGACTGGAGCTTTTTCTTTGGTTGGTTTAGTCGTTCAGGAAATATATAGTTAGTGCCTACTTATTCAGGGGCCTTCTCCAAATATCAAAGTGACAGTTGAGAATTTGTTTTTAGAGCTGCCAGAACCATGTTTGCCCTGCAATTTCAGGGCCAAGGACAAAAGTGTCAAAGGTTGACCAACCTAATGACTTTTAGTTACAGAAATTAGCCGTTCCTACCATTTTAGACTATTAAATAACAGACGTCAGTCCTCTTACGTTTGACTTATTGTGAACAGTTGAAGTATAAATATTTTCATAAGGCATTATTCTGTATAAATAATAACACATAAAAGCCTTCTAGGAAGATGATGAACCATTCAAGCAATCAAATAAATATTTGCATGACTTACAGTATTTTCCAAGCACTGTGCTATTTGCCACAAATACAAAGATTAAATTTAATAAATAGAAAGGTCCCTGACCTCAAGGAATAGTCCACTGAGACTATGCAAATACAAGAGGTCTTCGAAAAGTTCATAGGGAATGTGCATTATGAGAAAACAATGAATACATTTCAAAATATCTTTGCACTGGGAACCAGCAGTTAGTGTAATGGCTATGTCGCTGGACTCCAACGTAGTCGACCGCAGTTTGCGTCCCGAACCCAGTAGCTTAAAACTCACGCCAGGCGCGTGTGCATGCGGCTGCCAGAACCATGTTTGCCCTGCAATTTCAGGGCCAAGGACAAAAGTGTCAAAGGTTGACCAACCTAATGACTTTTAGTTACAGAAATTAGCCGTTCCTACCATTTTAGACTATTAAATAACAGACGTCAGTCCTCTTACGTTTGACTTATTGTGAACAGTTGAAGTATAAATATTTTCATAAGGCATTATTCTGTATAAATAATAACACATAAAAGCCTTCTAGGAAGATGATGAACCATTCAAGCAATCAAATAAATATTTGCATGACTTACAGTATTTTCCAAGCACTGTGCTATTTGCCACAAATACAAAGATTAAATTTAATAAATAGAAAGGTCCCTGACCTCAAGGAATAGTCCACTGAGACTATGCAAATACAAGAGGTCTTCGAAAAGTTCATAGGGAATGTGCATTATGAGAAAACAATGAATACATTTCAAAATATCTTTGCACTGGGAACCAGCAGTTAGTGTAATGGCTATGTCGCTGGACTCCAACGTAGTCGACCGCAGTTTGCGTCCCGAACCCAGTAGCTTAAAACTCACGCCAGGCGCGTGTGCATGCGTGCCCAGGATCCCGAGAGGAGAATGAAGGAGAAGGGATTGCGGCATGACCATCCCCTCTGGGGGGTGATTTTTCGCTTTCTGTCTCTATGTCTCTCTCTGTCTGTCTGGCGAGCGCACGCGCCCTATAGCGAAAACCTCTCCAAAAAGAAAAAGAAAAAAAAATTAAGAAAATATCTTTGCACTAAATAAACTCATATATTAGTTCCTTTTTCAGTAAACTTTTTGAAGTTCTCTTATATGATTTCAGATACACGCCCACACATACATACATGCACACTCATATATATGCACACATATAGATGCTCCTTGACTTACAATTGGGTTACATTCTTAAACCCATTGTAAATTCAAACAATTGAAAGTTGAATTATGATAAGTCAGGAAGTGTGTGTGTGTGTGTTTGTGTGTGTAAAAGTAACCTGAATAGGGGTCAGTGGGTAGTATGGTGATTAAGGTGCTAGACTCACATGGCAAACTGCAGTTCAAATCCCAGGCCTGGAGGCTTGAAAATTAATGTTAAACATGTGTGCATGCATTCACAAAATCCCAAGAGGAGAATGGAGAAGGGATTGTGGCACAGCCATCCCCTTTGGGGAGCGGGGGTGGTGATTTCTTATTTTCCTTCTCACTGTCTCTCTCTGAAAAGTGTATATACTCTGTGGCAAAAACCTAGAAAAGAAAAAAAGGTAGCCTAAATACCCATTTTAAAATATCACTGAAGCACCCGTACCGCTGGAAGTATGGTTACAACTGTGGTTACGGGAACGTTCATTTAGAAAATGTAGAAAGGATACCATACTACTTCACTGAGCCAACTTGAAGTGCGCAGTGAAATGGCCATGTGGGTGTGTGGGGGTGTCACACAACTGCCTTCCATGGTGCTTGCTGGAGTTAACTGCATGGATTTTGTTTTGGTGGGTGGGGTGCAGGCTGGGGGAGGGACTGTCTTGCCATTTCCCCTAAGTGGTACAAAGCTTTCATTCAAATGAAATTGGAAAATATCCCAAGGATGTTCTCTCTCTCTTTTTTAAAAGAATTATTTAATTTTATTTATTATTATTGTTACTACATTTTTAAATTTGCTATAGGGCACACACATTTACCAGAGAGAGACAAAGAGAAAATGAGAAAGCAAGCTGCCAGATCTGGGACTTGAACCACGGTCAGCCATGTGAGAGTCCAGTGCCTGAACCATCATGACATCTGCTGGCCCCCCAAAGTTAATATTAGCTTTTGGAGATAAGGTTTTCCAGAAAATGTGAAGGATTTGTGCAGTTTGATTTTAACCTGTAGATGCTGGAGAGCTACTGCAGAGGATCGAGCACACCTGGAATATTGGGCAAAACTGTGGGAAGGTGGGCTGAAATAGAGCAAGACTGGAGGATGTAGCAAGGGAAATGGTCCAGGGCACTCCATTGCAGAGAGCAGAATTCGGAGGTACTCAGAAATCACTAAACTTTGTTAACTGCTTAGATATAAGGGGAAGAGTGACTAAGGATCTGTGTTGGATACCAGGGCAAGGTGGTTTCATGATAGCTTTTTTTTTTTTCGTTTATCATTCTATTTATTTCTTTGTATGTATTTCTTTATGTACATATATGTATGTTTAAGGAGGAAAAGAAAGTCATTTGTTTCAACTTCTGCCTTATCAAAAGGGACATAAATGAAAGCTCAGGAGTGCAGCATTTTTATTACATCATAAATACCATTCTTGGACTTTGCCATGATAATGGACAGCACTGTTAGCAAGGAATCAAAGTCGCCACCCAGAAATACCATCTATATTGGCTCTCAAGGTTCAACATCAAATATATGCAAAGAAGGAAGAAGAGAAGAGAATGGGAAGGGAAGGAAAGAAGGAAGAGAGGAAGGAAGGAATATTTGATGGGAAAACAACATGAAAGGGACTGGATGGTAGTATAGCAGTTAAACTCCATGCTCTGTGAGGCTGACCCACAGCCCGGTTCAAGGTCAGAGCTCTCCCTAAGTAGGCTGGGCACATGCATGCCCATGATCTGGGACTGGCTGAGGCTAGGGCTAGACTGTGGCATCGAGACTCTATTGGGATGCTGTCTCTCTCTCTCTCTCTCTCTCTCTCTCACACACACACACACACACACACACACACACACACATACCATATAGAAGAATTAAATTTATTAACTTTAAAACAAAGGGGAAAACAAACAAACAACAAAGACCTAGATTATGTAAAAATCAAAGAACTAAATAGCCAAAAAGAAGGAGGAAAATATTAGCAAACTCAAGCTCATCCCCTGAGAGTGGTTTAAGAGAAGGTCAAGTGTTTCCATATGAAATGCTGACTTTAGAAGAGCTAGACACACCCAGAATTAGAGTGGGAAGACAGAGAGAGAGAGATAAAGCTTTAATAATATTGTCACTTTTTGGGTTTTTTTTTTTTGAGTGGTTTCTCCTATGGCCACATGTGCTTACTAGAAAGACAGAGAGAGACAGAGAGACAGAGAGACAGAAAGTGAGAAATCATCCCCAGGGGGGGATGACCACACCACAATCCCTTCTCCTCCATTCTCCTCTCAGGATCTTGGGTACACACACATGCACATGCGCCCGGCATGAGTTTAAGCTGCCGGGTCTGGGACTCAACCTTTTGTCTACTACATGGGAGTCCAGCGACATAGCCATTACACCAACTGCTGGTCCGTTTTTTTTTTTTTTTTAAGAAGATATATTTCTTCTTCTTCTTTCGTTCTTCTCACTGCTTTAGTAGTAAATTTCTTCAGTACCTTCTTTCAGTGCGTAGGGGATTGGACTGCTCACACAACCATTCGTAAGATTAGAAAACTCAAATGTGAAGCAGACAGGAATCGTCAGAGAGAAAAGACGATATCTATTATGTTTGCCTAAGGAAGTCCAAGATCTATTCCAGGTTTAAAAGCACAGAAATGTGTGTGAATGA